TAGAATATTTGACTAGTCCGTTACAAATGCACACATCCCTTCTCTCTATATGCAGTCCATTACTTTTCTTGTATATGCTTAGGAGATACTATAAGAAAACATGAAATTAGCATCTCCACATCCATTGTATGTGACGTAATATACATGAAGTAGATGAAAAACATAAAAAAATATCAAACTCAAATGCATTTCAATTGGATTTCAAACCACATATCCTCCACATCATGAGTAGACACGCCCCTTACTGCTGATTGGCTAAAAGTTTGTTTTGCTATTCGGCCCGAATCAGTTTTCTAAAGCGTTTTTGAAAAATCGCTTACCTCACCTTTAAGGACAATGCTGAATGCATTTCTATAGTTAACTAATGTATTTGTTTTGCCTGAGCTCAAATTAAGTTTGACACCCAACTTAAAAAAACCCAGTTTACATACATTGAGTGTTTCATACATAGTGTGAGCTTTAGTAAAATAATTTGTTAATATCAGGCTTTTGTAACAGTGCTGTGTTAATTTAAGCAAATTAGAATTTTAGAAATGTTTTGTATGTAATTGCACAAACAATAATTGTATTGGTTAAACATGCACACGCAAACAAACGCAAATCTGAAGCTGTATAACAGAGAAATGTCCGAAGGGAGACCCACACAGTGAAGTGGTTACTAAGTAGTGGCCATGCGATCATTCCTACTATGTTGTACATTTTTATGCCCCCTCATGTCTAGGATAAAATATGAAATGTGCCATTTTTGAAGATCAGGGAAATCCAGTCCTGCTCCTAGAGGGCCAACGTCCTTTAGCTACAACCCTTATTAAACACATCTGAACCATGCTAATCAAGGTCCTCGAGATTACTGGAAACTTTCAAGCAGGTAACTCCAAGAATGAGGCCCTACAGGAGCAGGACTGGACTCTCTTGTTAAAAGATGGAAATCATAGTAGTTGCTTTTCTTAAAATGATTTACATACAAGGTGTGAAATTAAAATTATATATATGTATATATATAAACATTTTCACTACTTTGGTTTGAGTGGCTTTGGTTCATGATGGCAGTTTCCTAATGACACCATCCTCCAGAAGTGACACATTTGGTAGAAAAATACCAGCACAAACATCTCTAAGTATAAACTGTTAAAAATAAAGGTTCTTTATTGGAAATTATGGTTCTATGAAGAATCCTAACCATCCATGGAATCTTTCCATTCCACAAAAAGTTCTTTGTAGTGGAAAAAGGTTCTTTATATCTTTAAAATGTTCTTCACACAAAGAAAAATGTTTCTTTTAACAACTGTTCACTGAAAGGTTCTTTTGGGAACTAAAAATTTAAAGAGGCACAAAATCACTTTCACAGACTTTTACATTAACTGTTCCCTCTGAAGCACACAGCATTTCAGTAAAAACATTGCCTTGTGAAAAAGGAGTACACTTTAGCATACTTAAAAGAATACTTAACTGCTAATATACTTATATATGTATGAACTGAATGTAATGGTTTTGGACACTTAATTGCAATTAAATAAAACTATTACAGTTTAAATTAATATTTAATTCAATTAGATAAACTAAAGCTTTTTTGATTAACTTAGAGGGTTAGTTCACCCAAAAATGAAAATTAGCC